CTCTCTCTCTCTCTCTCTCTCTCTCTCTCTCTCTCTCCCTTAAAGTTGAAATCAGGGGCAGCTGGTCCATAGAGCACGGTCGTACACTGCCGCCCAAAAGTTTTAGCGCACAACACCCTCAAGGTGACAACAAAAGAACCTTTTGCCATCCATCATCCAATCAGTTTTACGTACCATACCAAGTTCTTTTGCTTCACCCAAGTAAAAAATAGTATGTTCAGTGGTGTAATCTATCTCAGAAAACGCTCTATGGGACGACCCAAACAACGATGATGTTTTGACCGAGTTTCTTAGTAAATATTAATAAATATTAATAAGGCGGTACAATCTCGATGTGCTCCAGCCGAACAAAGCCCATAGAGGCAGTCTAAAAATAACGCAATCTCAAACCAGATCACGACAGCCTACACAATTCAATGCCCGTATTATGATAGCTTTGGAGCAATCCATCGGAGTGCTCCCAGCGATGTGCGATTGGTCCATTGTCTTGCCATTTATATCTCTAGCCCCACCTCTGTAACCCTGAGCTTGAGCGAGGTCAACATGACGTAATTAGGTCATTGTGTTAGAAGTTGGGATGGTGTAGTGGTGAAAGTTTTATTAGTACTCGAGTGTGTATTCCAATGCAAGATAAATGAAGTTGATTGCAAATAAATTCAGTTCACCAAACAAAGTAAAAAGAAGAGAGTGAATGAATTAAGTCCTCACCAAACTAAAAATATCAAAATAATACAATGAATAAAAAGTGGAGTGGCTTACACAACAAATTATACTCCTTGTAGACCTATATTAGGCCTACTGTTTCTCCTGTCTGCTTTTTGGAACTGAGGACCCCAAGTAGTCTAATACAGGTTTTACTGATCTTGTCCATGTGAAACAACGCATTAAAGTCGAAAGTCATCAAGAGCGCACGTAAAAAATGCCGTTAAGTATCATACTTTCGGACAAGTAGACATAGCAGCGCAGCTAGTCGTATGTCATCGCATTGCAACGTCTCACAATAAAGAACTGGTGAGAAAGAACAGGCACATATTGTGTAAGGTTATCTAGATCTAGTGTATTTTGTCCTGTGAAACTCACGAACTCGCCCTTCGCGGTCATGAAAAGGGTGCTTTGTCGGGGAACTGGGGTATTTTTCGCTAATGCTATGCAGGCTCTTCGACATTTTTTGCCCACTCTACAAAATGCATCTGCGTTTGTCACCGGAATACAGTGGAACTCGGTTTCAACGAGCTCGGATTCAACGAGAACTCGGATTCAACTAGATGAGATAGATTCCCCGTTTTTTATTCTTCTTTAAAATCAATAAAAATAACCCGGATTCAACGAGCACTTAAATCAGCGAGCTCGGATTCAACGAGGTCGCTTCCAGGGTGAACAGCCCCTGCTGACGTGGCTTCGCTCTTTTTTTCTCCCACAACGAACTTTATCTATTCCTGGAAACCATCCATTGCACCTGCATCGTGAACCATTATACTTATACACTTACCCGATTGCATGCGACCAACCAGCGGCCTTTTTTCATACCAACACATGCGTTGTTGACACGCGCACGTGTCTACTCTGGTGTGTGTCGAGGTTGGAGGGGCGGCCTTCTCTCGAGTGGCTGTGTGTGCGTGTCGGGGGGGGGGGGGGGGGGAGGGGCACTAAGGGGCCCGGCGATGAACCTCGGAGATACAAACACGTCAGTCTTTTTTTTTCTCTAGGCAACTGATCATTATTACAATGATAAGCTAGTCTTGACGTAGATCTGCGTAAGGAATTGTGCGCTGGTCTATGGAATCAAAAGTTGCCGTATGCTAGGCTCTTCACAACAACACAAGTTTTTGGTAAACAATCGAGATGACACAGGCGTGTGCATTTGAACGAATCGGTCTTTTTTTTTTTTTTTTTGCACAGCTCATAATATGCAGGCATTTCAGGCACTACTTGTGACTTCTCTTTATACATTACTCGCTCAGTGGCTGTAAGTATCTGCACAAAACCTCATGTTTGCTATAACGAACACTCGGATTCAACGAGGTTTTAGGCCAGGCCCGGCACCTCGTTGAATCCGAGTTCCACTGTATTCCATGGCCGTCTGAAACAAGGTGGAATTTACAGTCTCGACTAATTAGTTTTCATTTGGAAAGGAGAGATCCAGCTCTGTCTTGGAGAAATTCAGTCTGAGCACTGGGACGATAATTCCATTCACGATGGTATCCTGAATGTATTAAAGAGCGAAACATTTCTCTTTCTTTTTGCGCTTTTTCAACAAAGTATACACACGCGTTGACGCTGTTTATGGGAACCTCTAACACAGAAGTACAGCGCCCATAGCAACCTAACAAGTTCTAGACACGTTTAAAGTAGCTGTCGACGAAATGAGAAACAGTATACTTGTTCCATCAACAAGACAGACAACAGAGAGACACGCTTCCAAGAGACGCAAACACAACAACACCAACGAAATTGCTGCAAAGCAGGCCTGTGATATAGATTCTAATAGTTACTCAAATTGTGACAGTTTCTTGAAGCAAAATAAAATCAACGCACTCTCAATCTGCGATTCATCCAAATTCCAGGAGTATCAAAAGTCGTTTCCAGCAGTTCTTTTAGGATCGTTTACAGAAATATTAGACTACTGTTTTGCTTAAAATCAAATTACAAACAGAATTATAATGTGTCGTTCATGTATAATCCAGGGCCTTTATTCAACTCTGCAGGACTACAAATTCGAGACAACATTAAAATTTAGAGAAGTATGCAAAATACCAGAAATTGCACTGACGTACGTTTATGTCTATCCACAAGGATATCATTGACAGCATGCCCAACTTCGCCAACATAATAATGGACACTTTTGCTCCAGCCAAAGAACGAAAGGAAAGCTTCTTCTTCAAATAGATTTTCTCAAAACAGGTAGGATGAAGAAAACATCTAATTTACATGATGCCCTTGACTATCTTCAACCTGCTTTAACCTAATTGTGCACGCCCACTTTTTAGACCCACGATCCGCCCCTGGTTGCAATAACACCCCAAACAACTACAGAAGTGTGTAAGTTACTGTAAGTGTATCTTTTATAATACCGGGCATCTATTATTGTATTTGTGTTTTTGTTGATTTGTAATTTGTAACCTTGATCTATTGAAAGTTCAGCCCGCCTCCCTCTAGGCCCTATTCTCTAATAAAAAGAAACCAGATATTTCGCACTAGCTATTCCCAGATTGTGCTATAGTGACTTTATTTGTCCGTCTGAGATGTGGTGCAACAGTAATGGAAATAAAGCATTTAAATCTATTCTTTTGGCATTATAAACCATAAATTTACGGTAGAAATGATAATTTTGCTATAGATTTCAAATGATATATTGTAATTTATAGAAGTCAAGCTTTTTGAGACTATGGAATGTCGATTTTCAACCGCACTCTCAAAAAACTAGAAATCCGGGAATGATGTTAAAATCAAAACATGGTGGAAAATAGCCAATGAGTCATGGTTTGAAACAACTCCCCGTGATTTATTGATCTACAAGATATTTCATATCATTCTTATTTTTCAAGCAAAATGTCAGCATTAATAGATGGTGCTACTTTATCTGGCTTATTGTTCAGTCATATGAACAGCTCTGGCTGTCAGGTAATACGCTCCGAAGTCCGACAAGAAGACAGACACAACAGTCACTGCTGTCACTGCGCTCTTGACATTCTTCTACTTCTGCTGAGACTCTTCTTCCTGATTTGGTCCATCATTACTCACGAAGTTGACACTGGACTAGATCTAACTCAATATTTATTGCTCGCTCAAAGTAAATTTCAAGATTGTTGGTATTTACTTTCACCCTTTTCATGATAAGATCTAGATCTAGTCTAGATCTAGATTCTAGATCTAAATCGAGATCTAGAATTCTAGATTTAGATTCTAGATCTCTAGATCTACTGGCAGTTGACTGGCGCTCACAAGATGTTCTCCCTTGTTTGTGTTAGTTTTTCTGTTCATTTTGTAACACAGATTTCGATTCTCTTTTTGGAAGGACTTCCGTAACGAGCGACCACCCCATCAAACACAATAAAGAAGAGGCCTAGACCTAACCCTACCCCTAACCCTACCCTTACCTTACCCCTACCTCTTCTACCCCAAGCCCTCAATTCTGCTCTGTCTCATAGTCATAGTACCGCAAACTGGCCGTGCGACCCCGTGGCGCACTGTCACAGAGACCAAAACCCATATTTTTACCCTCCTAAAACGCTGTGTGATCATGCATACACAATTGATGTATCAGAGGAAAGAGGAGCTTTTCCTCTTTTTAGTGGTATTATTTCCAATTTGAATCAACGATTCTTTTGAAAGCAAAATATTGCGGGATGAAAGACAACACTATCAAGGTTTTCACTGTCGCGGCAGCGCGTTTCGAGTATTGATTTTTAAAGTGACCTTGGTTGAACAGGAACGGGGAGCGTATGGTATTAAATACTGTATCAATCTGATTCGTCAATATTTCAAGATGAGAAGATGCTCTTTCCGGTGATATATTTCTAAAGACTATATCCTTAAAGAATTAATAGAAGAGATTTGCGTGTGAAAACTTTCGGTGCTGTTTTTTTTATGGAACCAGTGATCGGACTGACTACGGAAATATATCGGCAGAAAGCCCATTCATTCCTCTTCAAGAATAACACAGCCATTTTACGCAAATATACACCGGACGCTCCCCGTTGGCTCACAAGCAGGGCACCATGGCCCCGGTTTCGTTTAAATTCTCTCTTCTTCCCTTCAGCGCGGCCCAGTGCGCAGCCGATAAACCGGTGGTCGCGAGTGGTGATTTTAACCTCCCCTTGTATTTCTTGCCGTTTTGGTCAAAAAGCCATGTTTACGTCTATAAATTTCCATCTTCTGGTTATTTGATAGCCCTGAAAAAAATTGAGCTTGTTCTCTATGTGCATAGGTGTGTGTCTACAAGTTTTTGTGAATGTCCACTCAAATTTAAGAATGTTGTGACATCTCATTTCGCAATTTAAAAACTAACATTTTTCTGCAACTTCAGATGTTCATCATAACTTTGTTAATTTAAATGAAGCTACATGACATGTATAAATATGATATCAAAATGCTCAGAATGATAAATTCTATATAAGGTAGTGCAGTTAGTTTTTATATGAAATCAGCAGACTTTGAAATTTCAGTTTGTGGTACACCTACTCTCATAGGGGTGGCTCGTTACGGAACTCCTCCCCTATTTTTGTTGGTAAATTTATAGAAATCGTCCCATCTCATAAAGGGTGTTATTTTGTAGGTTTTTTAGGGCCCTGAACATGATTTTGGCATTGAAAAAAGTCACAAATTGTTAGTTTAGAAGTTACACTTTATTTCAGGGGGGAGACCCCCCCCTGAACCCCCCCCCCCCCTCCCCTACCCGGCCTACTACACTGCTATAACGTACTCGCACGTCAGGGGGAGACCCCCTGAAACCCCCCTAATGTCTATAAAAGCATGCATTATCCCAAAAAAATCCTAAAACTAAACCTTAACTTTTAAAAAACTGACCTTATTCGTATATCCGACGGCACTAAAGTGGTGAAGGAGCTGACTTCCGGTAGTGGATGTGACGCGAAACGGGAGTGCTTTATAAAAATACCTTTTTGTCTCCAAGCAAAGTAGATCTAGCCTAATAATCTACTTTTTGAGATATATTTGTCTTTGATGATTTGTTGTTTTCATTTGAACTAGATCTAGATCTAGATCCAGATCTATTACTTACAAAGCCAAAATTTTATGCCAAATTGTGTAATATTTCACTTATAACTTTTGGCAGTCTATGCGCACGCAATTGCTTGCACAGAAATTCAAATTTCGAAGGTATCATAGTTTACTATATGCCCGCAATTATATAGACTCGCAGGGCTCCCCTTTACGCACATATATATGTGCGTATATTACCCCTTAAACCTGCAGATTACCCCCTTAAGGTTTTGGTGGTGCGTGAACGTTACTCTTAAAAATTTCGTTTCGGGGGTTTGCATACGCTTTAAGACGTATGTGGTGTGCGTCAGGCAAGCATCATTTCCCCCCTTCTCTGCGCCGAAGCCGAGTCAATGATTTAACAACACACCCACACACATAACACTGCAGTCACCTTTTGTCTGTGGCTCTGTGTCAGAAGCAGAAGACCTGGCATCTACTTATTATCAGCTGTGCGAAGTATCCGGCGACACCGGCCTGCTTGAGCAGAGAAGCTCCGCCCACATTCTGGTCTCTCACATTATATTTGCCGGTGTTGTGCCTTAAGTTTACCCTTGCCGTGAGATTACCTCCATCCTTCTTTAACACACTAGATCTAGTAAACATGAATAGTCCGCCGTCGAAAGACTGGGATGGCTCTGATGAATAATGAATTAGTTTATTTTCCAAACCTGCCACTCATCCCGATGTAATCAGGATATCTAGATTTTTAAACCCAAATTTCAAGCATCACGATTTTCCCGATTTTGTTTGCGTGTATCCCGATTTTTTAAAAATTCCGTCTGTTGTGCCGACTCTGCCTTCTTTTCTGTCGAGGGAAGCACTCGTTAAACTTTTTATCAGCAGAAACTCGGAGCACCATTTTCCGAAATGTCAATGCCGAATTTAGTAGTTGTGTTGGATCTTTGCACACACATGTTATTTCAAGTATGTATAATGGAAGTAGTATTGGTTTGGCATTCCGACTTGGGACATTCTCAAGACCTAGGGCCTAGATCATTTTCGCTTTTATTTTTGTTTCAACTCAGAATTTTCCGATGATGGCCTGATAACTGTTTAGATTAAATTGCGACGCACAAATGATCAATATTATTCGTAGTTCTGCTGTTACTTTCAAAACAAGCTTTGTCCGAGTTCTGATTAGTCGGGCCCGTCATCAAGACCTATTGATATCAGTAAAACTGCTTCAATTGCTCGTTCGCACCACGTGACATGACTCCCACCTAAGTGAGTTCCGCGTGTGTCGGGGACCGTTGACGGGGTCAATTTAAGTTTATGCACACCGGCTGAAGCGTTTTTCGGGACTTATCCGGGGGGGGAGTGGGTGGGGGCGTGTAAAACACTTAAACTAGGAGAGCTTGACGTGATACTTCAGGATTTTAAAAATAATGGTAAAACACACACAGGCTCGCATACGCCCACACACACACACACACACATACACACATACACACACACACACACATATCCCAGGACATTTTTTAAGTCAGTTTGGCAGTGACCTTGGAAATTTGTCGTTGATCCCAATTTTTTTTCACCAAATCCCAATTTTTTCCCCCACTGAGATCCTGACTTAGATTTCATAGATTGGCAGGTTTGATTTTCTGTGTATTATCACAGTCGGAATTGACCCCTTTTGGTTGTCAACTTTATTTTATTTTTGATAGACCCAACTGCCACCACCGTTCCCCCCTCCAAATGGACACAACTCTAATTGTAGTCAATATTATTTGCTGTTACAATGAAACCTTAAGTTTATTAAAAATCGTCAGCATTCAATCATAGTAATGGTCACTCTATGTGTGTCTGTGTGAATGTGCGTGCAAGTTACGTTTACATGCAAAAATTCTTTCTATAAAATTAGGAAATAATTGACTTTTACCCTGTAAGTTTCTAAAACAAGGGTTTAAATACCCCTGAAGACAGAAAACCGAAGGGTGAAGGAACCTCTTAAGTTGGTCTGAAAAGGGGAGCCCTGGACTCGTCAATCTTTTCGCACAGTGTCATGTTCGGACTGGCGTACCGAACTGGACGAAAGGACTTTGAATCTACAAGAAAGGTTACTGTAGAGTGATTTGAATTTGAAGGAAGACCACCCAGAGTTACATTCCATTATGTTGCTATGCAGCCTCATGTTTTTTGTTTTTTCCTGAAGCAGTTTTCAGCTGAAAATCTTAGGAATCCAAAAAGTCTGAAAATTAAAAGAACAGTTGTACAGGCAGCGTGGAGGTTTCTGATGTCAAGATAAGATACAATTTAAGTAAAGACTCAGGTTATTTATCAATTCTTATCCTCTCATCTTAGAAGAACGTTTAGGTGCGCGACAGATAGGGGAAACATAATTCTGAGGGGCAAACTTAAAGAAGAGGGAATTTAACGGAATTGCCTGCCTAGCTAAGTATGATACCTTGCCCACAATTGCATGCATATAGCAAAAATGTGTTAAATTGGTGCACACAATTGCGTGTGTATAGTAGACACTCCCCTTTTTTAAGATCTAGATCTAGGGGGTATGCCAACCTGCCCCCCTTCCCCGCCCCCACCCCCCCTCCCCCCCAAAAAAAGGCTAGATAGAGGGTTTCAAGAAGGTAAAGGGGGGGATGGGGTATTTCACCACACTGTAAGCTGTTTATAAATATTAATTTGATGTTTCGCTAAATAATTAGGTTTGAGATTTTCTTTTGAAAAGTGTTAGACTGCAGCCAAAAATATGGAAGCTTAGCCCCGAAAAGCAGTTTTTTAATGAAATTTTATAAAAAATTTTACCTAAATGTCACTTTCTGTCACAGGACTTTAATCTATTTATATATAGGGCCTACTGACAACCTTACAGTGACAAGTTACTTTAACTTACTAAACTAATTTTGTAGTTCAGGAGGAAGTTACAATACAATTTCAGAGATCGCAACAAACTGATGAATTGGACTTTGTGACTGAGTTTTCCCCATAGCATTTTCTAATGTCGGTAGAATTCAAAACCAGTTACCTGAAAGTGGAAGACAGGAACGTCCAGTGAAATTTGCAGAGCCCCCAAATGGACAGTTTCAGTATCCAATCAGATGTCAGAGTGCATGAAGTATTACTGTACTGCTAATTTTAATGCCTCTCTCACAATTCAAATAGATTTATTTTGACTTCCTGCTTCTTCTTTCAGTTTGACACAGTTTTTTAGCTTTTAGCCATTTTATGTTCAAAGCATTTTTCATGTACACCCCTTGTTACATATTTCACAAGATCTGGTAAAAATTATGTCAAAACATTGAAAATATTTCTGGGGTTAAATAAAGTTTTAAAAAAACTTCAGGCTTCCCACTTTCCCAATTTTTTTCAGGATTTTGAACTTTATCAAATGAATATATAATTTATAAATCATTGGAAAGGTCTTTCAAAGAGTTTATCTAAAAATGTTAGGAGAAACAGCAAAGGCTTGTGAAAAAAGTTATTTAATGAAAGGTAACTTTACCTTGATGAAAACACAATCCCAATTTCACCAAACTTAGTTTAATAATCCATTTTATCGAATTCACTGGCCACAAATATCAATGTACACAATAAAAGAATGAAATTTTAAAGAATAGAAATAAGTTTAATGGAAAAAGGAACGTAAATGAAAAAAAATGCGAGGCATCGTGGTGAAATCAGGCGCTCATCAAAATAATGAAATGGAAGATAACGTCATTTTCACGCTGAGTTGGCAATTATTTTTTTTTAATGTTCGTTGTTTTTTTGGTTCAGCACCTTTTATGTCTATTTAACCCCTTCAATGCCTCAGGTAAATAGGTCCCTGTCCCGAGGGAAATCCAATGAACCAATGAAGGCTGCTCAGGGGTGACCCCACTCTACCTTCCATAACTTTTTTATTTATGAATATTTCCTCATGAATTTCTGCATGTACATTCTACATTGAAGCGCATGATTTCCATAAATATAATTTTGGGGGAATTTCATTGAGAGATAGATGAAGAAAAGTTGGAGTTAGTAACATGATGCCCAAAACAACAACACCAAAACAACATGAACAACACAATTCGAGTTTATGATAAACTAAGACCAGAAAAGGGGAATACATGTTCTGTGAGTGTTTGCAGGTAAAGAAAAAGTGACTAGAGGCCTTTCCTACCCAAACTTGAAACAAAGCTTGTAAAATCATTAACGTAAGCCCATCTGTGTTTATGCCAGTAAATCATGATTGTGTGGTAGATGTGTTTGATCTAGATATAATCTTCTCTTCGAACAAAAATCTGAAACTGACGCTTTCAAATGGGGAGAAAATAGAGGTAACCATAAAGGGAACGTACCCCAATATAATTACAAGATTTTAGCAGTAACTTCCCTTATAGTTGGTATCAAAACAGCCACTGTCACAGTCCCGTAAATTCTACGGGCCATAGACGCAGCGCTACACAGTTCAGGCCTGTAAATGCTACGGGCGTGGCAGCGAAGAGGTTAAAAACAAATTGTGTCGCAACATGGCGGAATCAGGCTCTTGTCAATTTTTGGGCATGTGGAGTTATTGGTATCATCTTAAAGCTTGTTCAGTTGTCTTTCTATATGTGAAAAAAGTGACCATCCATCTTGAATAGAAGTCAAGATCAGATTGATGAAGTTGGTTAAATTTGCGAAACTGGTTGGAAAATGCCTGTTTAACTATTTCTCCAATTTTGATATTTTGACGAGCGCCTGATTTCATCATGATGCCTCACAAATAGAGATAAAATTCATTTGAAAAAATGTCTGCAACGTCGGCACAGCCGTTAAGACCACGAAATCATCATCGGCATCAAACAAGACAATCACAAAAGAGTGTGATATTTTTGTCCCTAACATCATTTGACTTGTTTATTTTCTTCAGATGTTACACATTCTGTTGCAGTCTAAGTTAAACAGAAATGACAAATAAACGCGTGTAATTGTGTTGGATTTGTTATGGATTCTGACGTTAGGTGTTAAACCGACGTTACCAACTTACGTTTTTAGCCTCGGCCTCATGAAAAGTCATCTGGTTTTTTCGTTAAAATCTCAGAGAAATGACAAGTTCGAATGGAAGATGTTGGCGACTTGCAGGGAGGGGTGTGTCACAAACAACTTTAACTTTACTTTTTACAAGACTTTTTGGATCCAGCAGCCATCCGAGGTCTATCCCTTTGGCTTGAACTTTTGACTCTGAACCGTAAAGTAGACTTTTTAAAAAATGAGTTTGATGGAAGATGTTGACCTGGTACATTTGCAGTAGCAAGGGTGTTTGAAAATGTGGAGTGATTTGCTGCCACCGCCCCCCCTTCCCCCATTTTTCTTAATGATCTTAACATTTTTTCTCTTGATATAATAAAATTCCACATCCCATTGATGTATCTTCTTTTTCTTTTTTTTTCTTTTTTTGCAGTATGGATTTCTACTGGGGGAACGAGTAGAGCAAATCGAGGATCGAATAAGTGACTCTCAGATTCATACTGCTGATGTCAATTCCTACACATGTGAGTATAACTAACGAAGAAAATAAAATGGTACAGGGGTTGCTGAAATTCTGCTAAGAAGACTCATTTGTTGTTGATTTTTGTATGAGTTTAGCTCCATTTTACAGATAGGTTCATTTTGAAGGCTGATTTTAAGTTTTAGGGTTTTGGGGTCTTGCCTTTGAATTGAAAGACTTGTCCCTTGTACTCGCTAAAATGAGTAAGATCAACAGTGTCTGTAGTCACTGTTTTTCCTGAGTATGGAAAAAAAATTATTGTCATACCTTAAACAGATTATTTATAGTGCCTCTCTTGGGTGTAGACTTTCTATACATGTGTCCAATATGTGACTCTTCTGTAGAGGATTTATGGAGCCTTAAACAATTAATGTTTTGAAAAAATTCAAGATGGCAGATGTTTACCCCTGGTTACCATCGCAATCAAATGTTTAACCGAAAATGCTTCTATTTTTTTCTTATCTGTCGCTGTATCGCCTAGTATCATCATGCAGCATAGTTAGTTTTTCTAAATTATACTATAGTTCCTTAGGTCCCTATATTTTTTATAGTTCCTTAAGTCCCTTAACATGAATGATTGCATTTTCACCCAATTTTTTATTTGTCTTCGTTGACTTTTTTTTTACAGATGTGTCTTCTTTTGTTCCCTGGCCAAGTCCGGATTATATGTACAGTCGAACAGGGTGTTTGAATGAAGAAACAATTGCCAAACTTTTGCCTGATAAGGAGCAGGTGAGTTCTAGTGATTTTGCTGAAAATATTGCAAAACTCGCTCTTTTTATTTCGATTGATAATGTGAAACTTATTCCCTCTACTTGTATTGTATTTTGAAATGAGTGGCCTTGCTTTGGGTTGGGTTTATTTTGTGTGACTATACTCCATCATTGTCTCATACTACTGAGATACAGTGACATATTTGTATTCTTTAAATTATTACTTTCCCTGATCACAAAGACTGTTGTAGACTGGAATTGATAACATCATACTTCCCTCTAGAAGTAGGTCTGTTAGACTGTTGAGGCTCAGGTCTGTGAAGACTTCTGTTTAAAAATTGAACTTTGGAAAAAAATCTTCCTAAATATCTGAATTGCAATGAAGAAAATCGAATGTTGAGTGCTGTCCGTTCTTTTCTCGAGTTCTGGCATAAATTGACATGTATGTGTGTCTATTTGAATTGCCTTTCTATACGTAAGGTCCTGTGGGTATTGTCTTCTTAGCAAGGAGAGCACCAGCTTAATACAAATGTTTTACTTACTAACTGAATTTACTGCTCAAATGTTGTCCATGGGGTGCCTTTTCAACTTACTCAGCCAATCTTTTAATATGCTACACCTTCTATTCCAGACCATTTTTTACTCTTTTCATAATTCAGGTATGGACTCTTTATAGTCTATATATAGCTTATGAAAATCAAGACTTTTAATTCCTTTAGAGGTTCCTTCTTCTTGGGTTTTGTGTTGATACTGACAAGGTTTGGTTAATTTCCAATCCATGTTTCGAATATTAGGATACAATGTTATCATTTTGACAGTCAATTAGTTTCAATACTTTTACCCCACTTGGAGGGATGCTCACCAAGTTTGAGGCTATTTTACAAGCTCAGTTGTGAAAGTTAATTTAGAGCTGTGTACTAAAAAATTACTTTTTTTTTCTTTATTTTATATTCTATATCAATTTGCTCCTCATTCTGTATGTACAGACTCTTGTTGGGTGGTACAGCTTCCGTCACCAAACCAGCCTTCGCCCTTCCTTGAGAGAGGCCACTCTTCACAGCAATCTGTCATCATGCCAAAGTTTTCGAGGAGAGCCACAGGACTTCTATTTTTTCTTGTGTACATCATTCATAAAACCTCAGGGGTCAACTCACATATGTGATCATGGATTTCTACATTTTTTGAATGGGTAGGTCCCAGGTGTTTATTTATCCATTTTTATTTACTTTGAGAATACTGGGTACCAAACATGGTTTGATGCATTGTTCTTTTTTTTTTTTTAAACTCTTGACAAAGTGTAGTGCTGTTCATGTTTTCAACCTGTTGCATGGTCAGAGATATATGAATGATTAGCTCTGCAACTGATTTGATTTGATTTTCTCTGACTCACTGACTTCTGATGCTGACACTACGTCGGAAGGCCAAGACACATGAGAAATGCTGAACCCTGTTTGTTTTTTTAAATTCACTCTCAAAGTTACAAACATGGCTGAAAAAGCTAATTTTGACTCATCACAATATAAAAACTTATACAGCCAGATGCGTAATATTTTCTAGAATGCATTTCTGTCGCAATTTAAATGTTCAATTTTTGTTCAGCAATCTTAAGAAAAAGAATGTCATTATTTATCGGATCAGAGTGTGCTCTTTCTTCAAAATGAAGCATTCTTGCGAAAATGTAGTCAGGATTGACGTGAACATCATTCATGGGCGCACCTCCCACTCTCTGCTGGTCTTATTGCTAACCAAAGCTGATGCCGTGGTGGAGGCAAAATCAAACGGGTTGTAACCTTTTGTTAAGGGCTCTCACTTCATGGAAATAGTGGTCACTGGTTTGAATTAAGCATAAAATTACTAGGGCACTTCTTCAGCTCTATTTTCAAATAACTTTGCTCCCGATCTGAGACTTTTTCAGGACTGAAAAAAAAAAGACTGAAAAAGTTTTACATCGCATTTTCAAAGTGAAGTTTGGCTTGAATTCACCTGTTAAAATCAATTTTTGGCGCATTTATTTGATTTTCTTTTTGTCATAGTATTGAATTCATATGCCCCTTTTCCAAGAACTGCTTAGCGTCATTGTATAGTGTAACAGAGGTTGTTCTGGTACTTGCAAAATCGGCACATACATGTCTTTTTCAATGAACGGTTCACATAACTTACAACTTCAAATACATATATAACTATTTTATGAAAGCGAAAAGTTGTTTTGGACATAGCAGTCCATGCAGCTATAGAACAATAATGCTTTTGGAAAAACAGCAAAATTAATGCACAATCTGTGACTTCGCCGACCTGCCCAGCCAATTTGGACTACCTAATTATATTTTCTGAGTTTATTCCCTTCCCTTGCTTGTTCAGATTCTCAGAGTAACTTGTTCTTGGTCTATCTTTGCCTCATTTACCTTCTATTTTCCAATGAGAGCAAGATGTTCAATGCTTTCATGATGATTCAAGTTTCTTAGAAACCGTATTAATTGTCTTTTCCCAATTCTCTTTTTTTTTTGGTGAGAGTTTTATGAAGGCCTCTTTCAGCACAGCGCCTGTGCCTTCTTTGATTTCTTTTCATTCCATGAAATTCTTAACAGCTATCCAAAGAAACCTCATTTCTGTGTCTTCTAGTTTATTATCATTATCTGTTAATTAATATTCACTTGATGTATAATGTTTTGATATTTACCAACTGATTTTGCTTGGAACAATATCTAAAAAGAAAATTGGTACTAATTATGCAAAAGCAGGTTCTCAATGTTCCTGATAGCTGTTCGTACAAATTCATGTTTTTTTCCAGCATCAGCTGTTCATGAATCATTCCTATTGGATTTTCCAGGTCCTTTGCAAAGGTTCCCATGTCTGTTATGAACTTGGGTGATACAACGAGAACAGAGTATCGTAAGAGGAGCAATGCGACACTCTCTCATTCGTCCACGATTGGGAATACGTTTCAGAGACACAGGTGGGAAAGACTTGGATGTGCATACAGTAAAACATGCTTGGTCTTTGGAACACTTTTTCCATTTGTGCAAGGCTGAAGAATTTACATAAAGTCAGATCTTAATTCCTTCTCATGGGATGTCAGAGGTGCTTCTTTTCCATTGTGGTACATTTTAGTGGTTAATCTGCTGGTTTCAATCAAGACTGAATTAATATGGCTTTTTTAATTTAAAATCCCTGAAAAAAAAAATTGATATTTGAAGAGAATTGATGTCTTCTTGAATATGCCTGAATTAGACTGTAAAGTAAGAGAAACAGTTTACAATGAAATAAAGATTACTCTCCATTTATTCCTTTGGTGAGAATTATTATTATATTATGTTCTTCTGTTTCATGGTGCTCTACAGTAAAGATTTTGTACAGCCCACGGGTGAAATGGACCAAGTTGTAAAGGTGGACCGACTGGCCAATTCTGTGAACAAATCATTAATGGTGAGGTTGCTTTACCTTGTATTCTGTGCATATTATTTTATATGGATGAGACTCTTAAAGTGAGTTTGATTGTTTCATAGTGTGTCACTAAATTATGAGTTTATTGTCAATGTGAATTTACTTTGTCAGCTTTTCACTTCACTTCTCAAGAGTGTATAAAAAATATACAGTTAAACCCTACTTGTTGAAAGAAGTTTGCAACAAAGTAAACTATGTTATTATCAAAATAGACAGATGTCATACTATTTATTAGCTTCTCTTAGCTTTGCTTGTATTGTGTTGATGTGAGAGAAGTGAGAATATGTGTTTGATGGAGTGAAAGAAGGTGATAGGGCTGAAATGAAGATTAAGGAAATAGAAGAATTTCATTTGATCAAATCTGATTTACATTGTGCCATGAAGGTCTAAACAATGTATTGTAAAAACTGTCTGTTTTGTGGTTCTTATTATGATAAATTAAGTCAGAATTGTAATTATGAGTTATTTGCATTATGTTTCCAAAAAAAAGCTGACGATTCCATAATAGGGTTTGATAAGTTTATTAACGGGAGGAGCTACCCTTGAGGACCATTTTCTATGTTTATTGCCCGAGATCAAATCTAAGTACACATATAAGTTAGACATAGTAAAATCTCTTGTTACGCAATTTTATTTTGGTATAGCTAGAACGGTTGCTATGGAAACGGCCGCCATCTTGAAAATAAACAAGGAATTTGAAATCCCTAAGGTTTTCCGATTTACAGACCAAATTTGACCAAATTTGGTGAGGGTATACCTGAACCAAGCCCTATCATAGTAACAGCGAGTTTTTTTCAATAAATTCAAAAGAAAAAAAATTATGAGAATTTTCCCAAAGTATAAAAAAACTTTTTCTAAATTTAAGTTGCGTAATCGCTTGCCAAAGGAGGAAAAGTATTACTTTTTTCGCAAATATCTTTCTGTTACATTGATGGCAGCCTTGCCAACTATGTTTCCTGAAAGTTTCATGTCAAAAAGATGAAAACTAAGGAATAAGTAGGGAAAAAACTGCACAAAAATTACATTTTGCGAAAACCGACAATAATTGTGTGTGTGCGTGGTGAAAGGGACCACATGTCGCATTTTGAAAAATCCCGTTTTTTGGCATTTTCTTGTACAGAATTAATTTCTGAACAATGTGCTTTTTAAATTTTGAAGATATCTTCAGTAGTTTTTGAGACATGGGCGATTTTGTAAGGCAGGGTACGGAAACAAAGTTTTGAGAAAAACGGCTCTAAAGTTTCACCTTTGTTTCTGCAGAAAAAACAAAAACAGAACACCCTTTTTTCATAACAAGTCACCATTCTAGTAAAAAGGTTTTGCTGTTGCTGAAATATAATGTTGTTAAATCATGTTCATAATTATTATTGTTTTGTTTAAAAACTTGATACCCCCCTCCCTCCCCTTCATCTCCTGCAACACACACAGGCAAAAAAAGTATCTTCACCACAGTAACTAGGGAACTTAACACTATCAATCATCAGGGTCAGAGGAAAACTTTTTGTTCCTTACCCACTTATCAAAATTGCCACATATCCAGATCTTAGAACCCAGACTCTCCCAGGAATAATTTTGTTCTGCATACATTTAGAATTAAGAAAACAAAAATGCACTACTATGAGTAAGCTAGATCTAAACTAGATCTAGGTCTAGGTTTATCAAGAAAGAACAGCGTAATTATAATTATTACTATTAATTATCATTATAATAAATATTTATTAGTTTGCTAAATCTAAATCTATTTCTATTATCACTGTTGTTTTTGTTGTTGTTAATCTTTACTTGCTTCGCTCGGTTCTGCTTCAAGTGCGGGGTCTGGAACTGGCGATGGCACCACAGATCGAACTCATCTTCTTCTCTTCTCCCAAATCGACGTCAGAAACGAAATAATCGCATATTACATCTCTAATGTCTTCATCAGTTGCCATTCTGACATTCCAATGCGTCTAAGAGAATTGAGAAGAGACACAATTTCCTGCTCACGAATAGCAGTACTAGATCTAGATCTAGATCTACTACTAACAGTACTGGTAGAAGTAACAGCTGGCAGCTCCGCCTTGTTGTTGTGCTTCGAGACGACCTGACAACACAGTCGCTTCTCACAAACTAACTTTAAAAAGCAGCTCTACAAAAAAAGAACAGCTTCAAAGTGTTTATATTACGTCTTCAAAACAAATTCACCACCACATTGAACCGGAATTTCAAGAAATACGGTTTACACAGGGCAGAAATAGGCGATACAAGTTTGTTCTCCAAAGAAACAAAAGGGTATGGATGCGCAAAGTTTCGCTTTGTTTACATGTTCTAGATATTCATGCGCACTACCTGCCATTGGAGAGCAGAGAGAATGACCTAAATTTTAGTATGCAATGTGATTGGGTAGACTTTATGAATGGACAAGAGAAACCATCTGCAGTGTTTACCCTGAAAGCCAGTTTCCTCACGCATTTTTGGGGATTATGCAATATACCTCGGGTTAAAAAACACCTTTTAAAATGTATTTTAAAGTCAAAATAACCCAAATCCTTGTAAATATCAATAAATAAATGGCTGAAGAATCCATTTTTAATGGAACTTAGTTTTTGTGAAAAATTCTATTTTTGACCTTTGAAGCTTGATATCTCGGGTTGAGAAAATGCGACATGTGGTCCCTTTCACCAGGCACACACACAATTGTGAAAATTCACTATATTAATCCATCCTCATGTTTTTAAAGGCAAATTACCTGTAGAATAAAGTTTTTCTCAATTGTATCCATGCTATTTTTAGACAAAAAACTTGTTGATCTTCAAAAATCAGCCAACATAAAATGTGCATAGCCTGACCCAAAATCTGCAAAATCAAGGGTCGCTCCTCCCCTTAAGGAAATAATGCAATTTTAAGTCCCGAAATACTTATTTTTTCCATGTTGTAATTTTCAGTTGCTTTGGTTGTCTTTTATATTTATTTATGTTTTAAAAAATTGATTTGGAGGGGGTTAGGGTAATCTTTCTTCTGTGTTTATCACGGCGAAGATATTCGGAGACGTCTCCGGCGAGCACCCAGTAACTATCCGGAGACGCACTCTCGCACACAGATATACATCTTTGGAGGGTCAAACTGCGTATTATTTACTGCAGATCACACATATAGCCACTAAAACTGTCGCAAATCAATTGTTTTCAAGAAAATTTCACTCCTAACTTCAAATATCAAATTATGGGTGTAACACCCCCCCCCCCCCTCCCAGATTTTTCTACTTGGTCTAGAGCCACAAAGCATTTTGATTGGTCTATCTCTGCCGGAGTCGTCTCCGAATAGATACTGCGCTTTATTGCTGAGTAGACAAAATTTGTCTTTTCAAAGGACTGCCCCACACTGTATTGTATGGACTTTTTTTTAAAAGTGAGCCTTTGTGAACAGATTAACATTAAAGAAAGAGTGAGATATGAGTAGCTCCTCTCAGTGGCATGGGATGGGGGTTGTACTCACTGTTATTAAAACAGCAGACTATTTTTATACCCCTTATTCACTCTGGTTGTAACAAATGTAGTTACATTGATTTTTTTTCCCCAAGCAGAAACTAGTTACCTGATAGTGTGCATGAATAATACAGACCTGCCACTCATCCCGATTTAGTCGGGATATCCCGATTTTTTGCCCCAAATCTCAATCCTCCCAATTTTCCCGATTTCGATCGTGTGTATCCCGAATTTTTGTCCCAGTCTGCTGTTGTGCCGGATTTTTCTAAAAACTTACTCTGCCTTCTCCTTTATCGCGGGAAGCACCCGTCGAACTTTTTGTCAGTAGGAACTCGGAGCACTATTTCCCGAAATATCGATGCCGCATTTAGTAGTTGACTAGCCCCAAGTTGTGTGTGGTCTTTTCCCGCACTCAGAATTCTCCGATGATAGTCTTGTAACTGTTACAATTTGGGACATCTGATAATCGATCATATTCGTAGTTTCGCTGTTACTTAAAAAAAAAAAGCCTTGTCCGAGGTCTGGTAACTGCGTGTTCACATCAAACACTAGGACGAGCGACAGTCTTTCTCTAACCCTCACACAACTACATGTAACTGCGTTGACAAGACTAACATACGGTTGTTGTCGTTGCTTTAGTCTGAACACATGAGATTTGTTGGTACATTTGGTCGGTCGGCCGCCGTCGTTTTTCTAGAAGTAGAACGACTGTTACTCATCAGAGTGTTTTGTGTGAACGTGCAGTTAATTGGACCCGTTAGGAAAATTGTTTCAATTGCGCATTCGCGTCACGTGACATATCATCGCCGTTTGAGTTATGCGTGTCGGGGACGGTCAGTTGACGGGGTCAACTTAAGTTCATGTATTTCGGGACTTATCGGTGGGGGGGGGGGGGTGTAGACACTTGGACTAGGAGTGCTTGACGCGATGCTTCAGGATTTACCAAAAATAATGATAACTCGCACGCACGCACACACACACACACAAACACACACACACACACACACAAACACACACACACACACACACCCGCACGCAAACAAACAAAGACACCCAGAGGACATATAAATCTAGGCCAAGGAATTTATGGACACCCCTGGAAAAATTTTAGGTCAGCTTTGGCAGTCACCTTAGTGATTTGCTGTTGATCCCGATTTTTTTCTCCAAATCCCGATTTTTTCTCCCTGAGATCCTGATTTTGGGGTTTCATAGAGTGGCAGGTCTGATAATATGAATTCTAGTTTGATTTTTTTGTGCAAAATGTATTTGTGTCGCGACATGGTGGAGTCAGGTTCTCGTCAATTTTTGGACATCTAGCATTCTTCCTAATATCATCTTAAAGTTTGTTCATTGGTCTTGAATTGTGCCTTTAAGGGGGGGGGGGGGCAACACCTGAAGGCGATCTCGCTTATTACTGGACCGAATTTTACCAAATTTCACACATATAACAAGCATAGTAAGGCGTCTTTAAATCCGCAATCAAATTTGAGAAAAAGTTTAGTTTCCATGGATACGGTGGCCATATTGGATTTGTTGACATGTCTTACGTAATGAGTAGGCCCTACTGCACTTATCGCTCATGGAAATTGAATGTTTTTTTGCATGTGTGTTCGCAAACAGTTGATCTAAAAATTTGTCTGTTGTTTTTTTCTGAAACGAATTAGATAATTTTTAATGAATTTTTTCCTGAGGTAGCATTCAAGTTTTCAAAATCCACACTCCAGACACCACCAACAAAAACGTATTCGATATATCTAAAATTCAACAGACCAATTTTTAGTATTACATCTTCTCTTCATTCTATGAAAATTTCATGAAGATAGGGTGAAAAATGGTGGAGTTATTAAGAAAAGTATAGAGAAAAGTCGCGTTTTGAGAAAACGGCCGATAAAGAAAAATAAAATACTGACTTTATGAGGAAATGGCGGTGACAAACATACCCGATATGGGAAGAAATACGGTTTTTGGGGGTTCTTATGTGATGAAATAGTTGTAGGAGAGGCTGAGGAAGCTAAAAATGCCTACAACTCAAATTCCATAATTTTGAAAGGACATAAACGGTGTTGAGCCAAAGAAATAAAATTAGAAAAAAACTGCCCAACGCTCAGAAAAAAGATGGTTTCTTTGATTTCACAGTTTTGACAAGCGTCCGATTTCTCCAGGCTGCCTCACATTTGATGACTATTTTACATGATGATCATTAATTATGAATTGAGGACTTGAAAGTCTGTGAATAAACTTATTTGATAGCACAAGTAAAATGATTGTCTATTGTTCTCACAATCAGAAAAAAGTTTCATGAAATCGTCTTTACTCCTCATCCTACTTTACCTTCCAAGCCTGTAATTGTTTCGTGCTGGTTATTTAGTTTTTTTACTCCTCTGCCTTTTTAACTTAAAGCTAACTGTTACTGAAAATGCATCCCTGAATGGTTTTTTCATGTGCTTGTTTTTTCTTTCAGTCCATGTACACCAAAGTGTCACAGAGTGAGGCGGCACTTGGACTTCTGGAAGTTGATGTACGCAACCTCCGTACTCGAGTAGAAATGCTGGAGCAGGAGGAGATGAGCCGTGTTTTTGAAGAAGAAGACAGTAGAAGAAAGGAAGCTGAATTAAAGGCCCAGCGAGAGGATGAGGAGTTGGAAGCGGAGGAGCAGAGCCAGCTGAACAAACTTATGCTGGACCTTGGTCTCACTGAACCAGACCAGGCAGCTGGGTGGGGTCAAACGGCTTCAACCAGTTCCTCAGGTCAACAGCGGACTTTGGACTGCACTCCTGCACTTGATTTATCATCTTATGTTCAAATTGACACTGGCATCAATGAAGACTCAAACAGTTCCCCAGAGATTGTGTGTTGGTCTGAGCTGCCACCTATTTGTACTGAGGTGAAAAGTTCTGGGGGTGCTGGAAAAGAGCCTGTCATGAAAAGTGAAGTGCAACGAACTGCAAGCAAACCTACTGGGTCTGCCAAACCTTCTTCTGTGGTTGTGAACGATCCATTGGCCAGTCTTGGAGACATTGGCAAGTTGAAAAAAGACTTGAAACTTTCAGATTCAAAAGTGAAGAATGGTAGAGAACAAGTTGGCAAACAAGCATCTGCTCCTTCAAAATCTGTGAGCAATCTGAACCACACCAGCCCAGGACCTGCTCAGGTGTCAAATAATGTACAGAATCCAAACGCTAAGGGTATCAAACTGAAAGACAAAATGACCGTGTCAAAACCAACTGGTGCCAGTCTTTCAAATGGAAATGCAGACTCAGAAGACAGTGACACCCAAATGGAAAATGTAAATTCAAATAACTCGCTGGAGAATCCGGATGTTCTTTTTGGTGTTGGAAATGAGACAATCCCTTCTTCATCACCTTTATACTAAGATGGCCGTGTTTGTTTAGTGTTGACAGGGGGGAGCTGTGTTGTTGGGTTTTTTTAATAGTAGACCTATTGGTGAAATGCTATTCGAAGAGATATAAAGGCTTTGACTAGTTACAAATAAACTGCTTTGGGCTTGCACTTCATTAGTACTTTATGGTGATAGGTCGAGGAAGAAGCAAAGGGGTAATTTTATCAAGCGGGACACCATATGAGAGTAAAAAGTATCCAAGACAAGGTTTTGTACTATCAGTCGATATATATGTTTAAGCCTGGACCGATGTGAAAGCCCTTTGTTTGTGTATAGCAAATGTACTGAAGCATAAATTTTGCTGTGAGTCTTGCCTTCTTGTAAAGGAGAAAGACACAGGGTTTTGTCATATTTTGAGGGAGTTACTGGAGCTGGCCAAGCAGAAAATTAACCACCAATGCCAGAATAATTTCAATAGTAGTAGTAAATGAGGGTTGATTGTGAATGAGATTTATATTTGATATTTGCAAAAGGTGCCATTGGTGTCCAGTGATGCGCATTATTCAATGTATTTGCTTTATTGCCAATTGCCTATACTTAAATAACGAATAAATTTTGACATGTAGTTTAAAAATTGACTGAATGTTTCAAATGACATTTTAAATAACTATTTTGACAATTGAGTTCGTTTCAGTTGCCGGTACTTTTATTACAATGACAGGCATTTTAGATATTTTGACTTGTTATACAGCACATGCTTTATTCATTTGTATACATTTTCAGGATCATGTGTGATCTTTTCCTCTTAAAGAAAATGTGTTTCTGTTGTGGTATAGATGCACCTAAAAAGCTTGTATGTTTGGTAAGAACAGACTCAGGTGATACATTACAGGGTTTACTGACCATATGACCTTAGTTCAATGCACTTATCAAATAAAGAAATTTGGCACGAGCATGAATTTTATTTCTGATACAGCCGAAAATAAAAGAAACAAGTGCCTACTTAACTTTCTCTTTGTTATAAGATGGTTGACAAGCCACAAAGCTTTGTTTGGTCTTAGAGATCAATTTTTATACCTAACCTTTGACTTTACCAGTTATCTGACTATCACCTCATGCCTCGTACCCCTTTAACCTGCACTGTACTATATATGCAGTGTCATGGGCAATCATTATTTGACCGTAAACTCTATGTGCAATCTACAAGTATTGAAATACAGTCTGGCATGCATATAGCGAACACGTAGGCCTACATATTGATATATCCGTGTATGGCGAACAGATTCTCAGGTCCCAAATTTTTTCTTATTATATGTGTATTGTCTTTGAATTTCAAACACATACAAAGTTAAATTCGTACATAAATAAAGGGTTTTCTTTGTCCCTCTGATGTCATTATGTGCGTGCTAGACTGTAATTACATAAGTTGTTTCTTGTGTACAAATTGGTGGTTTTTTCTTTTATTAGGATGTGCTGGACCTTGCTATTGTAATGTGATGTTTTTATGAGTGAAAGAAAGATTTTTACATGCAAACTGACATACTTTGACTGTGATTTTAATGGAGAACACAAACTTGTCTTTTGCTAGCCCATGTGACAAATGTTTAATAATTATGTTGCTTGACTTTTTTTCTTGGTCTGATGTTTCCTGCTCGCTTAAAGCTTTCTGAAGGTGTGTCCCATCCATCACCACTTTCTTAGCCATATTTCTACTATCATTTTGTCCTGTCCTTTCCACTGCTCTTCATTTCTTATTCTATCCTGCCACTTTATCACTTAATTCTTATGATACTCCTCATACATCTGTTGATGAAAGTCTAGACTTTATTCAGCACTGTCTTTGTTGTCGTACAAGTTTTGCAGCCGTAGAGTAGCACAGATTTGACATTGGAATTAAAGAGTCGAATCTTGGTATGCAATGAGATGTTGCTTGCTTTCCAAACTTTTGATAATTGCTTGAATGCTGACCTTGCCTTGGCGGTTCTTGCTTTCACATCTGCCTTTTGACATTGGAATTAAAGAGTCGAATCTTGGTGCTCAGTGAGATGTGGCTTGCTTTCCAGACCTTTGATAATTGCTTGAATGTTGACCTTGCTTAGGCGGTTCTTGCTTTCACATCTGCCTTGCTTCCACCTTTACCATCGATGACACTTCTAAAGTAGGTAAAAGAGTCCACTTCTTCCAGGGGAGTGTCTTCCACTGTCACAGCAGGGCTTGACACTTTTCCTAGCTTCACTACTTTTGACTTGCCCGGGTGTATGCGAAGACCAACACTCCTTGATAGGTTGTTGAATTCCTTGGTCTTTTCTTGCATCTGAGCTTGTGTGTGAGAGAGCAGTGCAAGGTCATTGGTGAAGTCCAAGGTCATCGGTGAAGTCCAAGTCGTCCAGCTGCTGCCAAGGGATCCTCTGTATTCCATTTCGAGAAATGTACTTTTTTGTTAATTACTTTTTCATATTATGTAGAGTATTTGACTAGATCTCATCTATAGAAGGTGTAAAAAAATAAGGAGAGGGCTCTTTGCTTGTTTCTTAGGGGTACAAATTTCAGAATCCTGAAGGCAGTATTCTATTTTGAGCTTTCCTCTGGGAAGGGTAAATTGGAGCACCAAGGTGCTACAAAGACATTCTGAAAATGTCTCTAAATGACTTCAACACTAATCCTTTGACATGAGACAGCCTAGCTCCTGAAAGATCCAATTGGAGAGCAGGAAATCATATGAGGCTTCATGCATTAGACAAGAGAGAAGCCTGCTAACTGCACACATCGACAAGTTAAATGCTCAAACTCTAAATATTGCACTCGTATCTGCCAGAATTGGTCTCATTGGCCATTGCAGAAGCCACAAATCATCTTAATCTTTATTTCTTTTTAAAAAAGTAGTCTCTGCAGATAAATTGGTCATCATCAGACATTGAGAGACAAACTATTACAATTTTATTATGAGGGGTAGAGACGGAAGGGACTTATATTGCTTTTGAAATAATTGTTACTTATATTTTTCTAGTATTATTAATCGGTCCTTTCACGGCGATTACTTACTTGTTTTCATTTTGAAACCAGTATTTGTCAGTCTGTTTTCTGTTTCAGACAGTACTTTGCAGAATGTGATTAATTCTATCTCTTGACAGTATTACTGTACGCTTGAAGGACATTAAGTGATATATATTAGAATTTAGATGCAAGCATCTTAATTTAAGAACAGATAAAAATTGGGACTATTGCTTTGAAACTGCATCCTGCCATTAACATTCCAGGATCAAAGTTAAAACCCGCAAGTGTGATTCCAATTTTGCAAAAATCAGTTAACATGCTCGTGAGGATTTGCAGGGTCTAACTTTCTCTGTTAGATTTTTAATGTTATAATCTATTTTGAACAACTTTGTGCTGAAATAAAATCTTACTCGTCCTTGAAAAGAAAAACTTTCAACTGGAAAATATATGTGTATTAGTATTAGAAGGGGTGTCACTTTCAGATCAGCTGTGAAAAATAAGACGGGTATTATGAAGCATTTTGGGGGATAAGTAATTTTGAAGACTGAGACTGAGATATTACATAAGAAAATGGCTGTCTCTTCTATTGTTTTGAATACAGTCTCTTAACCTTCTATGATTTTATGTTTCTGAGCAAGTAGGAGTAAAACAAAGACTATCTTCTCTATCTCATTTGTATGTTTATTTTTACTAGCCTCTTGAGAGTAGCTTATTAATATGTAAACTGTTTAAGAAATATTTTTTTCTGTGACTCTCGTCTTGTTATTACATCCCTTGGCAAATGTTCCACAGAAATGAAACAAAGAATTCCGATGGTGTAAGATAGTTTAAATAAAATTAGCCCAATCCTGAATAGTAGAAACACCTCGATGACTACCAACAAAATAAAAGTTCTGAAAGGCTGTGTGTGTTTTCAATCCTAGTGTACGGCCGTGGATGCTGAATAAAAACAGTGAACCTTAAATAGAAGTAGAAATCTAACAGAAATGTGGTTTCTTAGGAGAATTGTTGAGAATTTGTTGGAAGGAAAAGAAGTGAAATGAAGTAGTACTGGAACTTGAAGAAGCCCACTTAGGCGGCTTGCTGGTTAAAAACAATAAAGAAGAGACAAATTCAAATGTGGGTTCTGGGATACTTGAACAGACATTAGGGTCTTGAACATCTAGCTCTCGCTTATAAAACTGAAGGGAAATGAGGCATGGGAAGACCCAGAACAATATATGTGGAAGGTCTAAACAGATTGGTAACAAGGAAAGATGTGGATGATAATATTGATATAGCTTTTTTGAGAGCATCCGAGCAAAGGAATGAATGGTGAATTATGATTGTAGATGTCTGTCCAAATCTGACACTTGATGATGATCATTGATTCTCTCTTTTCCCCCATGTCTATTGCAGACTTTCCAGTTTTTCTTATATGAGAGACATTAAAATCTATAAAGGGGAAGCTATGGGTTCTGTGAAACTTATGAATGAAGCCAGCATAGCAGAATGGATTCAGAGAGAAAAAAACATTATAAATAATCCACATGGAAAATAAAGAATATGTATGGCTTTGATTGAAATGTCACAAAGGTGTATTTGAGTGAGTCTTAAGTTTTCCTTACCCCATGTTCATGTTCAGAACAAAGGGTTTGAAGTAAGAAAGTTGTATGATGAGTTGTATCAGTGTATCAAGTTGTGTCAATTAGTTACATTGTACTTAAGCATGTTAGGTTTCATGGTGAGAAGGTAAAGGAGAGTATGTTTGTTGGAAAGGAAGTGGATATAATTTTACTAAGATATGTACATTTGTATGAATTCATTGTAGATCTAAAGATTTCTTGTAAAAGTAGTATTATATTAGTAAGATTGTGACAGCTGCTGTTGTCAGTGTCGGAGATTTCCTCGGCAAGGAAGACGTAGACATGTCTGCCAGTGCCTTTAAAAGATTTCAACTTCAAGAAAACGAACCTGCTTCTTGTCAAGCTAGGACTCTGTGGAACAGAACGAACTCAGTATTTTAATTGGGTTTTTTTTTCTTCATAGCTCTTGAGGATACATTTTCTTAGCTCTTCATTATAGGATAGTACAGGAATCGACATATGATGATTGTTGGCTTACAAGCAAAGGACATGGGAACAATTTCCACAACGAAAAAATTAAATTTCTTTTGTCTTTCTGCTAGGGTATTTCTCACACAGCTTAAAGGTAAACTTTTATATTTGCAGCTGCCTTTTTACTCATACTGTATTTGATCCTCTTTGTAGTGGGTCTTTTATCTTGTAACAATCTTCTAGCCTGTTGCTCATGTTAAGTTTAAATTTTGTTTTTAGTTTTCCTTATTCCTTCTATGTCCTTCTATCCTGCTTTCTTGGAAGTTTTGGGTTTTTTGGTTGTTGTTGTTTTTTTTACCATGGTACTATGATATTATATATATCTTAAAAATTGGGGATTTAGTCCTTAACTTTTGTTTATATATTATATATGCTGATTTTTTTTCCTTTTGCTTCCCCTTTTTTTTAGCTTCTGTGTTTGTTCATGGTCTTCAAGGAAGGCATCACGTTTTCTGTAAATTGATAGTGTTGTAGATTCATCAATGGCATTTGAATTGGTCCAGAGATATACTTTCTGTGATATTTGTTTATGAAAACATATTGCAATTGGAGGAACTCTAGCAGGAATTTCTGAAAAGAAGAGAGTGCTCATTAGCCCAAAACTTGTCTCACCAAAGTTGATTTCAGAATGCTGATTTGTACTGATAAAATTTTTCTGACAATCCTGATTTTTTCGAGGAACTTTCTTTATTTGACTGCATGGTCCAATATGCTTTTCAAAACAGAAAGTGTGTGTTGTTTAAGTATTAGCAGTACATCATTTACTAAGAGATAAACAGTGGTCTTGCCTAAGACTAAGAATATGACGCATGAGAACTTCGTACTCCTAAGAGCCCACTTTTACCTTCTAATAGTTTTTTTCTCCTCATGATTTGCTTGCCAGGAACCTGTTCTAATATAAAAGTTGGCCTAAGAGCCAGGTTTCAGCTGAGTACATTCAACTTTGCCTAGTGTCCTGCTATACTGTCCTTTGAGCATGCAAAGAGTCCCCTTTCAAGGGCAGACTAGTACGGTACAAGATCTATAATGTTCTGAGTTTAATACTAAAGCACAGTTGGGGGTAAAAAAGGCAATGATGATGACAGTTGGGGGTGTTTGGGAGAGGGAGAGAGTGGACATGGCAGTGAAAGTGAAAGCACGATGTGATACAGTAACTGACAAAGTGTTATGATTTTTAAAGGACATTGAGGAAGGGAATGGGGATGGCATGAATTAGCAGATATTGATATCCACATATTTTGAGCTAACATGACTTTTTTCAGCCGTGCATGTAGGCCCTGCTGAGGAAGACAGATGTGAAGTGTTTTTTTTAATTGGCTCAATCGCTTGTTTCTCTCGCATGGTCAAAATGTCAAATTTTGCTGGGGAAAGATGGCCCCTTCACTTACACAGCATTGTGACTGGAACCAGTTCATAGTTTCAGTATATATATGCTGTCAAGTTTATGATGTGACATTGCCTTGTAGTGGAAATCTAGTCAGAAGCCTGATGGCAGAAAGCCACTGGTTGTCACTTGCTCCCCAAACAACACACAGTGCTCACTAACATTAACATGCACGTGCATGTATGTTTCTACAAATGTATAATTTGTTAAAACTTATCTTCACTTGTGGGCCTTATGTCATCCCAGAACAAACGAATGATGTAATGTAAGCAGTAAGTGTAACCAGGATGCTAACTGGTAGGAGTTGCATTGTGCCCCTTGAAATCCACCTAAGAGCCCCCAGGGTTGTTTTTTTTGCCTCCCGATGACTGAGGTCTTAGGCAAAGACCACTGTACATATGTGAGGCAATGTGGTGAAATCATGCTCTCGTCAAAATAATGAAAC